GGAGTGCGGAGCGGAGCCCGGCGTCGCCTCCATGTTCCAGCTGCCCATCCTCAATTTCAGCCCGCAGCAGGTGGCCGGGGTATGCGAGACCCTGGAGGAGAGCGGGGACATCGAGCGCCTGGGGCGCTTCCTCTGGTCCCTGCCCGTGGCCCCCGCGGCCTGCGAGGCCCTGAACAAGAACGAGTCGGTGCTGAGAGCCCGGGCCATCGTGGCCTTCCACACGGGGAACTACCGGGAGCTCTACCACATCCTGGAGAACCACAAGTTCACCAAGGAGTCCCACGCCAAACTGCAAGCCCTCTGGCTGGAAGCGCATTACCAGGAGGCGGAGAAGCTGCGGGGCCGACCCCTGGGGCCGGTGGACAAGTACCGGGTGAGGAAGAAGTTCCCGCTGCCCCGCACCATCTGGGACGGCGAGCAGAAGACACATTGCTTCAAGGAGCGGACGAGGCATTTGCTGCGGGAGTGGTACCTGCAGGACCCTTACCCCAACCCCAGCAAAAAGCGGGAACTGGCTCAGGCCACGGGACTTACCCCCACGCAAGTGGGCAACTGGTTCAAAAACCGCAGCAAAGGGACAAGGGCAGCAGCCGCTAAGAACAGGTAAGGTGCTGCCCGTCCCGTCGGGGCACAGGCCCCCCCCTTAGGGACGCTTCGCCCCCGCCCGCCGAGGCCGGGGGGCTGGGGGGGGTGCGGGGCTGCCGGCGAGCCCCGCCTCGGGGGACAGGGAGACGAGCCCGGGAAGTTTCTCCCCGGGAAATGCGGCGAGATAAAGTAGGAGCAGCGGGAAAACTCTACGTCTTTTAATTAATTTGTTTGTTTGTTTATTTTGAATAGGGGAGGGTCCCCGCCCGGGCTCCCCCTTGGCCGCTCTTCGGGGAGCGGGGCGGGGGAGAGGGAGAGAGACCGCCCGGGCAGCGCGGCTGGCGAAGCTGCCGTGACCCCTTTTTTTGCGGCGGAAAGGGCCGCACTCAGCGGCTAAGCGGGGAGAAACCCGCCTTCAAAGTTTTGCCCGGACATATAGAAACCTATTTCGTATACATCCGTCTGGAGCAGAGCCGGCAATGCCCCTCTGCGGGCCCTGCTCGTTTGCAGAGAGCCGCCTTGCCCTAAACCTCCGCCGGAGCCAGCCAGGGACGTTTCTTGGGATATTTTTCTTAAT